TTCCATAAATACAGTGGAAAAAAAAGCTTAGCCTCCCAGGGACAGAAAATGTATTTTCTCCAGGACTACTAGGTAAACATAAATGAAAAAAAAAAAGCTTGAAAAAAAGATCTGAATGTTGACCCCATATCTAAGGACTGGTTCTGCAATATATTATAGATTTTTGTTTCTGGGTTTAGATATGCTTTAATTAAACAAGATTCTACACTCTTAACCCTAAAATGAGGATGATATTAAGTTTATTATTTTGTTAAAAAAGTTTCTTAGAGTGAAAAAAAAAGGTAGATGTGGGCAGCACAGTGGCTAAATGGTTAGCACTTCTGCCTGGTAGTACTAGGGTTTGCATGCCTGGAGTTTGCATGTTCTCCCTGTGACTGCATGGGTTTCCTCCAGGTGCTCTGGTTTCCTCCCACACTCCAAAGACATGCTGGTAGGTTAATTGGCTCCTATCTAAATTGGCCCTAGTATGTGTATGTATGAATGTAAGTTAGCGACTTTACACTGTACTCCCTTTGAGGGTTAGGGACTGATGTGAACCAGCTGTGCAAATGCCTATGGTTCAGCCTGTCTTGTCAGGAGATAAAAGGGAAGAACAGAGAAGACAGGATCAAACAGCCTTTTTACACAATGCAGAGGATTAACCCTTGGGTTCCACAGTTTGAGCTAATGATTTCCAGGACCCCAATGGAAGCGTGTTTGCAGAGCAGGCTTGTATCCAGAGGAGGGATCCTGGTTCCATGCTGTCTGTCAGATCCATTTAAAGGGGGCTTCCTGTAGATTCTTGTTCAACATACTGCTCTTTAATTATGCGCATCTGGTGAGTGCGCATTTCTTACAATCTTCCGCACAGATAAAGCCACACGGAATTATTGAATACCACTTGTGCACTAGGACCTGTTTGGAGCACTGTATGCTGACCTGATTGTGTCAAGCCTTCACGATTTCATGAACACTTTTTTGTTATAAGACCTTTCACAGTTTCACATACTTTATTGTGCCCATCATAGCTTAATTCACTTATATTTATTATCACTATTTATTAATGATTTATTGACTTATTAATATCATCGAGAATTATTATTCAATATTTTTTTCAGCTTACACTGTGTAATGTTATAGCGCTGCACTGGTTTATTCTGATACTGTATTTGCAACCTGCATTTTGGGTGCCATTAACACTGCACGGACACCAGCTGCAGATCGCATTTGAATGTGGTGCAGGAAACATCCGCAGTTTTCGGATTTCCTACACCGCATTCTAGTGTGAACCAGGGCTAAAATTAGAAATCAAGCCATCAACCGCAAAACGATTCAGTAAATTTAAATACAACACCACTAATAAACTAATTAGCTCACTAAACCGTAAAGTGGACATACTGTAATACTGTTTTTTCTATTGTTGCTGTTAGAGGTATCTATAATATACTATTTCCAGAAAGCTGCATTTGTCCAGGAAATGGTTAGGCCCCGATGCAGCAAAAAAGAAAATAAAGCTGGGTCCCAATTATGCACGTTCATGCTCAACAAATTTTTGGAGGCTACAGAACAGATGAACTGGGGTCAGCAAAGCCCGGAGGCCTCCAAGTCTCGTAGATGTGCCAGACGTATTTTTGCTATCCAGCTTCTAATAAAATAGTGTTGCTTTCCAAAGTAGAAAAAAAAAGTAAAAAAACAACAACAAATCATAACCATCATGAATTTGTAAATGAAGAATCATGGCCTCATTTCACCTTTTTATCATTGTCATAACTGCCTAGGGAACATTTAAATTAGTACTTTGTTTTCTATGTAGGTTACAGAAATGTATTTTAATGTACATTTAAAACTTAGTTATTTAGTGTCAACACAAGAAATCGAAAAGGAGGTAGTTTACAGATACAGTAAGTCATATAGTAATAAGACACTGCAGAAGCCTTTTTTTTGCAAGCATTCCAAACACAGCCAAGCAAATTACACACTTGACCTAGTATTCCTGTCTATGTATTTTCATATCAGACGCTGCGCTGAACAAAAAAGAAAAATGAAGTATACTTGTATCATATGCTATATTTACTACATAGTAGTTGATTTACTAAAACTGGAGCGAGCAAGATCTACTGCAGTACTGCACAGAAACCAATCAGCTTCCAGGTTTTTTTTTTTTTTTGTCAAAGCTTAACCACTTGCCCTCCTTAGGATTTACCCCCCGTACTGACCAGGCCATTTTTTGCGTTATGGCACTGCGTTACTTTGATAATTGCGCGGTTAAGCAACGCTGCACCCAAATGAAATTTGCATCCTTTTTTTGTGTGTTTTTTTATTTTTTGTACTATATAAAAAAAAATGAGGACCAACAATTTTGAGAAATATTTTTACTTTTTGCTATTAAACATGTCCAGCAAAAAAATGTAAAAAATCTAATTTCGTCATAAATTTAGGCTAAAATGTATCCTGCTAAGTCTTTGCTAAAAAAAAAAAAAAAAAATCCCAATATGTGTAAATTATAAATTTTTTATATGCATATTTTTCATATGCATATTTTTCATATACTATTTGGGTACACCTGCTGCAGACATATCCATAACTATCATTTTCCATTGCTAGGTTGGGTATATACTGGCCATCAGCTCAGTATGATACCGCCTAGACTGATCTGAAGGCATTAGCTACGATCGTTCGGCTCACGCATGCGCAGTTTGAAGGTCTGAAGCATGCTTTCAAACCAATAAAATGGCCGCCGGAACTCTCGCGCATGCGCAGTGTACCGTGCGCCGACCATTTTCAGATGATTTTAATATCATCGATAACATGGCACCCGCGCATGCGCATTAGGCCGAATAGCTGGCAAAATGGGCGCGCATGCGCAATAGGCCGAAAAAAAACGGCAAAACGGCGCCAGGACACAATTCTTTCTTATAAATAGGAGTAAGGAGACGTCAGGCATGCATGGCATCACCCCTACAGGAGACGTGTTATTACACGAAGCGTGTCTAGGAGGAGCCTCTGCACGCTTTGACGTTACGCCACCGGATCAGGAGGTCCGGTGGCCATCATTTTTTACCCACTGGTTAGTGCATTCAAAGAGCTCATTCACACTATATTTGTATGGGTACTTTAACCCTGTACGTTTATTGTTTTATCATAATGATCTATACTTAATAAATACATTTCATAATACTACACCATGAGCGTTTCCATCTCTATTACCTGGCACTGAGCCTTCACATCTCAGCCCAGCATTCTAGGAGTCCACCCAGGCAGGAGAATTTGGGATATAGGTCCAGACCATCATCTCTGGCAGCCTTCACCCCATTTACCACCAAAGGGCACCTTTATCATCCGGCTGTTCCTTCACAGGACTTCCGGCTTCATGGAATTTCTATGTGCACATTAAATTGCACTTCCGGTGAGTGGGCAATTTTTTCTACACCTTCATGTTAGGATGCTGGAATATACCCATTTGGATTGAAGTCATTTATACTCCATCACTGGAATATACCTTTTTGGACTGATATCATATTACCTTGGACTGTATATCATTCAGTTTATAGGACTTTTTGTCATATTTTGTCATACCTGTGACAGTGTGTTTTATTTGTATAGCGCTGCACACCCATTAATATGTGTAAATTGATTGGTTTACCTGAAATGTATAGCTTTACAAAAGGCGGAATATATACTGGAATTTTTTTCCCACTAGAAATGGCGGTAACCAGCGACTTATAGTGGGACTGTGGAACTACGGCGGGCATTCTGACACTGCGGGGAACTGCCTTGGTGTCACTGACATCAATACAGTGCTCAGTACTAAAAAAAAAGCACTGACACTGTAATAATAGCACTGGGCAGGAAGGGGTTAATATGAGGGGCAGGGGAAGGGGTTAACTGTGTGGTGTTTTACTATGTGCTGTGTGTTGGTGCTTCACTGTCATCACACTGCTTTGGATGGCTGTGCTGTGCACAGCCATCCAAAGCAGTGTGCACAAGCTGACAGGGAGGAGAACTGTATTGTTTACATACAGTTCTCCTCCCCGTTGGAGATCCTTGTCAATCACGGTGATTGACAGCCGCCCCCTACCCGGAAATGAGAAATCGTGTGTGTGTGTGTGTGTGTGTGTGTGTGTGTGTGTGTGTGTGTGTGTGTGTGTGTTTTTGCGCACCTGTGCCGCCCCGTAGCAGTATATCTGCTATAGGGCGGTCAAATGAACAACTTAGAAGCTGATTGGCTACCATGCACAGCTGCACCAGATTTTGCACACTCCAGTTTTAGTAACTCAACTCCATAAAGTCTTTACTTTTGGTTTGTAGCCATGAATTACAGACACAACCATTTACCATTTTTCTGAGTGTAAGAATAGACACTACATAGCATACTAAAATACTCCGAAGGTGGAAACAGCAAGTAAAAGTTAAACTTCCGGCACCTCAATATTTATACTTTTCAACTCTAATATTTTTTTACAGCTGCTTTTTAGTCAGTAAGTACCTGAATTTAACTTTGTTTCAGCCTCTTGAAATATTAGAACAGCAATACTCACCATTGGGAAGGCCTACAATGAGGGCAATCAGCTGCTCCACATTCATATCCACATACATCGGCACTGCGCTAAAAACGCATACATGTTGCATTTTAGTGCAACACAGGTCAACGTAGTGTTCTGGTGTGATTAGGAAACATTGGAAATAATTGTATTTCAGATGTCCATCAGTTGATCCGTGTTTTACAGCTGCGCTAAAACTCAGATTAACGCACTGATGTGAACTGACCCTCAAGGAATGGGAGAGCAGAGAGATCACCTTATCAGTCATTAGGATGTCTGTACTGTCTGGTAGGGCTGTAAAAATCTCAGGGCTGGATGGACAGAATTACAAAATCTTTGGTATGTGTATTTTAACCTTCCTAGTGGTAATCCAGAGTGTGGCTTGGGGTTAGTTATCAGTACCAAAAGTGTTAACCCCGAGCCACACTCGGGATTACTCCATAGTGCTTCTCCTGCTTTCCCCCCCGATCCCTACATTGTCCTGCAATCCCGCGATGTCCTCCCGCCAATGCCGGCATCCGTCTTCCGGGTTCCATTCCATGCAGGCATCAGTACGCACGGGGGCAGAACCGGCGGGAAATTAAAAAAAGTAAAAAACATGACATACACACAATACATTGTAATCTGTTAGAATTACATTACTGTATCAAACCTAGTGCTTTGTCCTGTGCCCTGCCTGCACTTTTACTGTCCTTTCTGCCTGGAAACTTGAGAACGTGCCATCCAAAAAGCGTCCCTTTAGGTCAAAAGTGGTTTTAGACCAGCTAGAGAACAGCGATAGTGAATTAGAATCACTTGCAGAATTGAGTGATTTGTGGGGAAATTCGTCATCAGACGATGACATTATTGAATTAAATTTATTATTATATTATTACTTTTTATAATTATTTATTATAATATATTTTATGATTTTGTGCGTTTATCATACCCGGAATGTTTACTAGACTCTTGTTTGGACAGATTTAAATGAGTTATTCCTAAGAATTACAAACCTACAATATAAAACAACATTTCCATGCAAACAATGTATCGCTTTGACATTCAAAAATATTGATTAGTTAGACTGCCAGGGAGGTTAAAGGTATGTTTAGATGTTTTCAGCTATAAGTACTTTAAGTGCAAGGGGGGATATTTAGGAAGCCTGTCAGATCCATAGTGATATCACCAAGTTACATCTGTAAATAGAAGTCAGAGAAATCAGTGCCTTAGTTCTCATCTTATACAACAAACATGGCACAAGCAGGATTATATTAGTTGCATCCCATCTAAGATACACTGGTGTCCACAGGCCCTTAAAGGTTTGGGTTCTGTCTAAAGCTGAACTCTGAGATAAGCATATACCGGGAAATTAACAAAACTTCTTGTGCCATTATAATGGTGCAGGAAACTGTTGGAAATGGTGTGCGCCACATTCATAGGGCAAACAAACCTGTTTCAGGTCTATCTGTGCTACCTGCACTACTTCCTAATCCAGAGTGAACTGCACAAACTACGTACAGCACAGTGATGATACACTTTATCACAAGGTAATATCTGGGTTTGCAGAAGCATTTCGTGTACACAAAGTGGATTTATATCCTTTGTGGCTATTGAGGAATATTTTTAAAGAATGTTTTTGAAATTGGCTTTCAAAGGAGACTACAATTGGCCATTTCAACACATTTGGTAGACATGGCCACCATCAGAAAGTCTACCCTGAGAAATACTATGGAACTAATAGTGGGGTGCTTCCTAATAGACAAGAAGGCAAGTTGGATATTTGTCACACTCAGAGATGGAGTGAGGAGGTAGATGTAGCATACAATAGTATGTATACACATATAATCAATGGTGATGGAATTAGGGAAAATAAATCATGAACAATATACTATAATAAATATACAAATAAAATGTCCTCAGAAAGAGTTCTATAGGTAATTCTGATGCATCATGGAGTGGAGGCAGCCGGCCAATAACGAGCTAGAGAGGCCCTGTTGAAGATCAGGAAGAAAGAGGCAACGCCCTCTAAGTGCAGTATGAAAGCTTTTTAATGGATAAAAAGTGTAGTAATACAGGCCACTCACAAAGCAGAAGTAGGTTTGCGCTTGTAAATTAATAAGCATTTGCTGTAGTGAAGGAGTGTGAAGCCTCTGGATAGATGGTGGTTACCGACATCTGGTGGTGGTGCTGGTGGTTCCAGCACGTCCTCCTAATTCCGGGATTCGCTCAGCTGAGACATCACTTTCGGTCACGTGATGGTGGGGGGTTGGCGCATGTTCAGAGCATGCGTGCTTCCTCATCACACCATCACGTGACCGGAAGCCACCAGCACCACCGCCAGATGCTTGTGACCACCATCCATCCAGAGGCTTCACACTCCGTCACTACAGCGGATGCTTATTCACTTCCAAGGGCAAACCCACTTATGCTTTGTGAGTGTGCGCCTCTTTCTTCCTCATATAGACAAGAAGCAACTGTAGGAAAGAATGAGATGCAAGAAAAGATGATAAAATGTGAAAACAAATATTTCTTAACCCCCCTGGCGGTATTCTCGATTGTAGCTCGGAGTAAAGTTTCAGCACCAAAAGCGGTAACCCCGAGCTACACTCGGGCTTACCATGCGGCGCTGCTCCGGGATCCCTCGATCACTTACCTTGTCCTGCGCTCCCGTGATGTCCCTCCTGCAGTGTCCCCTGTAATGTACTCCCGCGAATGCTGGCATCTGTCATCTGGGTTCCGTCCCCTGCGAGCATTGGGGCGTACGGGGGGACGGAACAGCGGGAAATTTGAAAATTATACATTGTGACATTCACTCAATACACTAAAATAACATAGTAAAACATTACTGTATCAAACCATTTCACATACATTTTGTCCCGAGTGCTTTGTCCTGTGCCCTGCCTGCATTTTTACTGTTCTTTCTGCCTGGAAACTTAGAAATGTGCATGGTGTCCAAAAAGCGTCCCTTTAGGTCAAAATCGGTTTTAGACCAGCTAGAGAACAGTGATAGTAAATTAGAACCACTTGCAGAATTGAGTGATGATTTGTGGGGAAATTCGTCATCAGACACTGAAAACCATTTTGCGACTTTGCTCAGTGATGTGCGAACTTGGCGAAATTTCAGTGATTTTGGTTTGATTATATTATTGAAATAAATGTATTATATTATTTTTTATGATTATTAAATTATAATTTATGATTTCGGGGTTTCAAATTTTAACATACCCGGGATGTTTACTAGACTCTTGTTCGGACAGATTTCAGTGAGTTATTCCAAAAATTACAGGCCTACAATAAATAAAATACATATTTCCATGCAAAAAAAATTTACCGCTTTGAGCACAGAAATATGGACATAATCAGACCGCTAGGGAGGTTAAAATAGACCAATGGTTTGTGATAAAGTATTTTGGCAACCTAAATGTCTTTCAGTTATAGTATACATCCAATGTAAAGCCCTTTGATACAGAAGGTTTGATAACAGTGGCACTTGCAATAAGAAACAAGTAAAAGCAAAATTTGGAAGGCTAACAATTAGATATGTACACTTAGGAAACAGTAAGTTCCATATTCTGCAGGTGCTTGCTAAAATTACAGACAAACCTTCAGTAGATAAATAAATGATTTATCCTGCATTAATACTGTATATCAAACAAGGTAGGTAGAGTTGGGCTTTAAATCATACCCAAGACTGAATCCTACTTCAAGCGAAATACCATATGTGAAATACCAGCTTGCATATGTAAAAATCATATTACAACTACAATTTCCACCCAACCTATAAAAATTATATATACTACCATATATAACTTTCAGCCAAGCTATTAGATTACACCTGTGCGCCTTAATGCTTGACACATATGACTAGGCTGTAACAGCTTGCACAACGTTCCTAAAGGATATAAAAATATGAACTTCTAAGGATTCCGTGGGTGGGTTTTCCTGAATAAGCCATGATGCTTGCCAGATACAAATTGTTGCCATTTAAAATTGGAGCAAAATTTAGACAAATCTTCCTGTTTTATCTTCTTTACCCTAACAACATCCCTTTGGCTGCTTTGTGTTTTGCTATTCGGTTTCCATGATTTACACAATGTTCTGTTTGGCATAGAGCAGATGAAACCTGCAACACGTGACTTTTAATTTTACATTAAGGTGCAGACCTCAGAAATACTCTGAAGCACATTTGTTAAACTGATTTGCAGCGAATTGTGGATTTTACGATCCATGGTCAAACAAATTTTAGATTATTTACTATTATATAAGGATTATCATTTTTGGAAATATATAGTTTTTTTTAGTTTGTGGTGCTCATATGCAGAGATGTTGCATTTTATATTGAGGCACATCTGGCTTGACTAGGCTATTGGAACAGTTTTTAGAGGATTTTAGAGGAATAAACAAAAACGGGATGATTGTGTTAAAGCAGATCAAAATGCCAACATTTTTGGCCACTATTTTACACATTACTGCTTGGCAAGTAAAATTTCAGTTTTCCCCAAATTGACTTACTTGCTTTAATCTTATTATTATTTAGAAGCAACTTTTAGAAATCTGGGGCATATGAACGTGATATCAGATGTTGGCGAGAAAAAGGAGTATGAGTGGAAGAGCTTTTAAATAATTTCCTACACAGAGAACTCTGGGCAGGTTTGCAGTTAGGCAGGGGTGGACTGACCATTTGGCAACTCGGGCAATGCCCGAGGGCCCGGGGTCAGTAGGGGGCCCCATTAGATGCCCCTGGTACCTATTTCATAGGCTTTTTTGAGTTTGGGTAAGGACACAGGGGCCCCATGATCCCCTATTGCCGGGGGGCCCCATGAGTTGTCAGTCCGCCCCTGCGGTTAGGTGTGACCAAACACAGATTGACTAGCTAGAGGGTGCTCAATGAAAGTGATGTGCTATTCATGCCCACTGCTTACATCACCATATCTCATTGCTATCCAGGGCAGGGGCGGACTGACCATTTGTAAACTCGGGCACTGCCCGAGGGCCCGGGGTCAGTAGGAGGCCCCATGAGATGCCTCTGGTACCTTTTTCATAGGCTTTTTTGAGTTTGAGCAAGGACAAGGGGCCCCATGATCCCCTATTGCCCCGGGGCCCCATGAGTTGTCAGTCCACCCCTGATCCAGGGCATAATGTGATGCAAGCCTGACAGTCCTCTAGTTCTTTCCATTGCTTAGGGATGATGCCTAGAACACCACTAACCTCAAAACAAAATACGTAATATATTGCAGCTTACCAATCATCACATGTGATGGCTGCATTAGGTTTCTTTTTTTAAGGGTTTTTCTGTTTTCACCTGGTGATCTGGCCAGTAACACACCTCCTGTGTCAGAGAGCCTCCACTCTTGATGAAGGAGCACAGGGGGCACCTTTGGACAGCTGCATTGTCAGTCCAGGGGAGCGGAGTGTTCAGTGTACTACACTAACAAATTGCAGCTGAACTCCATCTAACACTTTTTAAGCAGTTACAGCAAACAGTTTCTTTCCTTTTAGGATTAGGCCCTGTTCACACTAGGGAGTAGCAGAAACGCAGGCAGAAGCAAACGTTTTTACTCACATTTATTCAAATGCACAAAAAATGCACTAAAACGCACAATGCTCTTGCAGTGCCATTGCACATTTGAACTTTTTCCACACAACAAAATGTGCAAAAATGTGCAATGCAAAACACCCTTGAGTCATGTCCATAATTTGGACGCATTTTCAGAGTGGAGGGAGGTCTATTCAAGTGAATGGCACAGCTCCAAAAATGCTCCAGAACGTATTGAAGCCATTGGATCAATATGACAAGCATGCAAACAAGTCCCAAAAACGTTATAGCGTCAAATGTGGTAGCGTCACTCTAGTGTTCCAGTTTTACATAAATAAATAAAACTGATCATGTAAACCCCCTGCCAATGTTGAATGTTTTTTCCCATCCTGGTAACTGCTACATTTGCAGACTTTAGCCCTGTACACACAATGAGAATATTGGATGAATGACCGTTCATTTTTTCTTTTTGCATGCTAGTCTCATAATGAAAGTGAAGAGGTAACTAAAGTTCCGATAATTCTTGTACGACCAAAAGAAAACTCAGAAGTGATGTAATGTATTTGTATTGTATTTTTGGACAAGAAACTGTACTGATTAAATTAAAATCGTACGATCTGGTATCATATGAGAAAAAATTTTGTGCTTGTCCCTTCAAATAATTTCAAACGAAAGCTGTGTAGTAGCAATCAGATTATCGTATGATTGGTATGAAAGTGATATTTTTCACACAATTTTCTGACTGTGTGTAATAGGCTTTACTGGCAGGATCACCAGGTAAAAATAAAAAAAGAAAGCCTAAAAAGAAAAACTAATGCAGCCATCACATCTAAGAAATGGCAAGCTGCAACATAAAACGGTTTGCTTTTGGGTTTGGTAGAAATTTTAATTCAATACCACTTTAAATGTTATATTTTGCCTATAGTTCTACCATATAGTGAAAGCAACATATCTCTTATCATATGAATATATTTCTCCTTTACTGGATAAGTGGAATTGATAATTTTTATCATTAAAAGGAAACCTCTACTGGCAAAAATATGGGGACCTGCCATTGCTGACCTCCTTCCAAGAATACTTGTTGTCTGATTGTTTCTGGCTTCAGCAGTTTCTAAACCTCTTGCCTCGAACAAGCATGACTATAAGAACGTCAGTAAGAACTCCGAACTCCTGATTTTCATATAGTACTTGTTTAAGGCCAATGCTCCAGAATTTATTGAAGCCACTGGATCAATATGACAACCAGATGACTAACATTCCCAGAAATAGAGATTAGCAACTTCAGCCTCCATATTCTCTTAGTATAGGCTTTCTTCAAGGTAAATCTCTGGGCTCATATATCTTCAAACTGAGCCACCGCCTAATAACTAAAAGCACTTTGGATTGGTGTCAGGCTTTAAACTGGTTGTAAAGGATGTAGGTTTTTTACCTTCATGCATTCTATGCATGAAGGTAAAAAACCTTCTGCGTGCAGCAGTGCCCCCAGCCCCCTCAATACTTACCCGAGCCGCATAGTGATTCAGTGATGTGCATGAGAGCCTAGGCTGTCCTGGGTCTCTGCCTCCTCATTGGCTGAGACAGCAAGTGGGAACCATTGGCTTCCGTTGCTGTCAATCACAGCCAGTGAGTGAGGAGGGGGGGGGGGCAAGCCACGGCTTTGTGTGTGAATGGACACAGTGAGCAGAGGGTGCCCCATAGCAAGCTGCTTGCTGTGAGGGCACCCGACAGGTGGGAGGGGCCAGGAGAGCCTGTGGGGGACCCAAGAACAGAAGGATCCAGGCTGCTCTGTGCAAAACGACTGCACACAGTAGGTAAGTATAGACATGTTTGTAATTTTCCAAAAATAAAAACATAAACCTTTGGGGTCCCTTTAAATTCTATTTTTCAGCAGCATTGTTATGAAAATACATTGTTTAATTTATATATAGCAAAAAATTAAAGTGAAAGAGAGTGTTAGAGACAGCATAGAAGTCAGACAGGCTGAAATAAAGGAGATAATATAAAGAGGGATTGAAAGAGATAGAGAGAGAGAAATATGAAAAAAAAAAAAAAAATTATATTATATATATATATATATATATATATTAGAAGATAAGAGTTGCTACTTTTCTGATAACTTACTGTTTGTCTTTAATTTTCCAGGGTCGCTGTTCCGACTGCCAGCCTGATTGATGGCCTTGACAATGAAGATATACTTGGTGCCGCTTTGCAGGCCGTGTACTGTATAGTGGTTCTGTTTGATATTTGGAACAATCATCCAGCTGTCGGCAGAGTTACACAAACCTGAAGATATAATTATATAGATTGGTCAGACATACAGGTTAATATCTATATGTTTTTAAAAATGATATTTTCATTCTAATTATTAGATCTCTAATAACAGTAGTAGATAAAATACAACAGTATATTACTAAAGGTTCTAAAACATATGGGGGTTTTATTTACTAAAACTGGTGCACAGAAAATCTGGTGCACCTGTGCATAGTAACCAATCAGCTTC